TATTCACCAAAATTAGAGAATTGAAGATATCAACATGAAACGAACAAACCTAAGAAAGGTCTACCCAAGGTACATATACACCAAGTATCAAAGCATTCAGGCTTGTAGTTTTCAAGAAGAAGTCGAAAAAGTAAAACATTGACACGGACGACGACGGACAATCACTCATATGATAAGCTCCGCTCGACAAAGTCGACAGCGAAAAAAAAGTGTTTATCATTATTGTGTATGGTAGTTTAAACCTGTGCCTCACATAATTTTGTAATTTTGCAAATCAGTAAAATGAAGAAATGTTTGTTTTCTGTTTTAAAGGATGTTTTTGTTGATTCCAATAAACCTTTAAATTAATTATTCAAAAAAAAATATTTAATAAATGTAGAATGTTGTTGTAATATTAAATAGTTTAAAACAGAAAAAAAGTATAACTAAAACTATATCATCATACAATTTTTCTGGCAAAGGCGGAAGGTCGTTTTTTTTCGGTAGTCTTATTCTTATTACAGTGAGTCACATTCCATGAGAGGATGACTTCTTTCTTGCATTTCATCATCATAAGAACTGGTCCTTTCAGATCAATAATACGGTAAGGATGTTTGCATACTGGCATGAGTGATAAATAAATACCTTGATTGCATTTCTAGTTTCAGTGTTTCTACATCATTTTCCAGTAACTTGATTGTCTCCTTGCTTTCCTTCAGTTGTTTCTTGTAAGACTGAGAAAGAAATAACACTGCAGTATTATTGTCCAATTCTGAGAATCTGCTAAAATTAAATAAGCCTTGTCATTTCACTGTCACACACTGCAAGTTTGTTAAAATAACCCTAACCGTTACCCTATAAAGAATTCATTTAGGAGTAGGAAAAATATGCCAACTTTAAAACAGCAATGCATGCTGGATGTATTGTTGACAAGACTAGAAATAATTCAGACAGAAAATCATTCAGATTTTGACACAAATAATTCACAAATGCCGTAACTTTAGCGATTCGTTGATATATGAGAAAAACATGATCCTAGTTTGGGCTGTGTTTATTTATTTTTTTATGATCTCACAAGACAATTGAACTGTTATGACAAAATATCTACAACATTCTTTTCAGAAAATTAAAAAATTAATCTTTTCACCACCACTTCCCTATTTTCATCAGAAATTCACAATATGCAGAATAGTTTGCACTTTCTTTCAGAAGATTGAGACAAAAATAGCCAAATTTGTTGAGTAAAAACTAAATATTGACTCAAATTTTGTCTGTTAGCTCTAAAATTAGAATTCATTTCCAGAAATATTGAAGAATATCAGAAAAAAGTGCAGGCAAATTTGAGAGAGAAAGTTTGGTGGTGAAAAGGTTGAAAAAATGTCCCCACAAAAGATCCAATTTTAGTCAGGTAGTTATAGTTTAGTACTGCCTTCTTACCTTGACTACTGCTTTATAGTTTGGTACTGGGTCGGTATTGACAGACCATCTACCGTTATGTCCAGCCAATGACAATCCTCTATTATCATACGTTAATGTATCATCAGGTAACGGTGACAACGCATCATAACGATCAACTCGTTTACCAATATTAGCATCTCGGTACATCCTTGCTTCATGCCTAGCAATGAATAAATAAGACGTGTGTCAGTTTTGAAAGCACGCTAAGCGAGTTCTAAACTACCGAACTTCCCCGATCATAAGCCCCTCCCTGAATATAAGTCCATATGTTTATGCACATACTGTAGAATACTTTATTTTAGGTGGAATTGATTTTCACTGATTTTTGACAAGTTGAATGTAAAATATAGGAAAAAAAGTATATTCGCTGGATTTTATTTTCACTGAATCATTCCTTCAGCGAAAATAAATTCCAAGTGAAAATAAAGTATTTTACAGTATTGTTTGTTTCTTCATTGTAATAGTGTCAACTTGTTTCACAACTTATTCTACAAAAAGACATAATATTCCCTAAAGCTTGGCATGGTAGATGAAAGATGTAATTTGGATAATATTTCATGAGTGGTGGGATGATTACAATGTTAAACCAACAAAATCATCTTTTCTGAGGTGGTCCTTGAGTATAAGCCCACCTATTAGTTTTCTCAATTTTGCATGTTGAGGCCCCTGGGCTTATGATCGGGGAAATATGGTAGCTAAATTTTAAGTTACATTCATACCGTGTCTAAAAGTAGAACGCATTTTCAGTCCACCACATTATGAGGCACCAAAGTGATAATTGAACTATCAACACCAATCACAATCACCTAACTTTTCCATAAAAGTGGGCAAAGGAACTCTCTGCAAGTTATTCCAATGTGTTTATTTATTTATTTGGAAAGACCCACAAGAAGTAAGGCTCTACACAAACACATCAAACTACAATAAATAATAAACATAAAATATACATAAATTTAAAATATCTGAATTTAACTTTTGAGGATTAACCAATGTACATTAGATTTAAAACAACTCGGATTACTCAATCTAAAAAGTTTCTTCATTCTCTTGTGTGATGTGCATGGTTTTTGTTTCTTCCCTTCAATCAGGATACTTTTCAGATAAAACTAAAACCGACAAAACTACTACCATTTCATTCAAAATAACAATGAAATTTAATATGAAATAAACAAAACATTGCACTAACATTTTGGTGAAAATAATTATGGCATTCAAGATTCAAAAATATTTCACTTACCGATAAAATCTTAGTTCTTCTTTAAACTTTGCAATCTGAGATTCATAGGAATCTATAACATCTAGTAATCTGAAAATAGAATATTGGTGAGTGTTACAATAGCTCTCATTGGCTGAATATTTGTTAGTGTTACAATAGCTCTCATTGGCTGAATATTTGTTAGTGTTACAATAGCTCTCATTGGCTGAATATTTGTGAGTGTTACAATAGCTCTCATTGGCTGAATATTTGTTAGAGTTACAATAGCTCTCATTGGCTGAATATTTGTTAGTGCTACAATAGCTCTCATTGGCTGAATATTTGTGAGTGTTACAATAGCTCCTATTGGCTGAGTATTTGTGAGTGTAACAATAGCTCTCATTGGGTGAATATTTGTGAGTGTTACAATAGCTCCTATTGGCTGAGTATTTGTGAGTGTAACAATAGCTCTCATTGGCTGAATATTTATGAGTGTTACAATAGCTCTCATTGGCTGAATGTTGGTGAGTGTTACAATAGCTCTCATTGGCTGAATATTTGTTAGTGTTACAATAGCTCCTATTGGCTGAGTATTTGTGAGTGTAACAATAGCTCTCATTGGCTGAATATTTGTTAGTGTTACAATAGCTCTCATTGGCTGAATATTTATGAGTGTTACAATAGCTCTCATTGGCTGAATGTTGGTGAGTGTTACAATAGCTCTCATTGGCTGAATATCTAAATTATGCAAAGTAATCTGCCTATACATCTCTGTTAGTAACATAGATAAATACTGCAAGTAATTAAATTGAAGTAGAATTTATTGATGAAAATAATAACATTATCAACAAATTCAACTTATTATTGATTGAATTCTCACCTTTGATCTGCTGTACTGTGAGCACGGGATCCTTTATTTCTATATTGTTGAAATATCTCATTCTGTCGTTCAATTCTTGATTCTTCCTACATGATAAAACATAGTAAAACTGTCAATGCCTTGTCATTTTGTATTTAATTGATGTGCATATGTATAATATGAGGTTATTACGAGGATACTGCAAAGTATGAAAGAAGACAGTACAGTGGGAGTATATCGACCGACATGCAGTGGAGATCGACATAACCACGTACTGTCTGAGTGCATACTTTATAATATTCTCGTAATAACCTTATTATTATACATCTTTTCCTCCCAGGAATACATCATGGGAATGCCGAAATCCAAAATGTTTAGAGCAGATTCAGTGAACTTCTTTGTGTGGGATCTGGTCTGAAACCTGGGGGCAGCCATGTTTTTTATTATTAGAGGATGCTTACGTACGTAATTGTTCCATATTTGGAATTTGCGTTTCCTAATATGGTGGGATGAAAATACACAGTGCAATACCACAAAATTACGGTACGCTGTAACTTTACGGTGACAGATGTTTAATAATATTATGTATGATGTATGTGTGAAGTTTGAATGTAATCAGTCCAGGCATGTCTAAGAGATAGGTTCAAACGCATGCACGAATGGACGCACAGGGTCAATCCATAAGTCCTCGTTTTCAGATTGCTTCCGAACGGGGACTAAATAGACCTTAGACGAAAACTGCCAGAATTTAGTTGAGAGAATGAGAATCATAAGACTCACTTTACCATTCCACCCCCAGTTTCATTCTTTCCAATCATGATGACCATAGCAACAAATACCATGGTTACATAGATCAGGGCAACAGTGCACGTGATGATGGGAAAGAATGGAACACTATTTGGAAAGGTTTCCTCTCTTTAGATCACGATGACAATTTGTATCAAAGATTAATTCTCTTACTTACAGCTTCTACCACCATTCTTAGTTTTCTTTTTAATCGGTTTAATTCATCTTCCTGTTTGTTGTACTTCTCTTCAATATGTTTACACCTGGTTTCCGTGGTTTCTCGCGAAAGACGAAGCATCTCTGCAGTGTTGTCATGGTGACGAAGCTGGGCTAAGTGTTTATCTTCCAATTCCTGTTAATAAAATCATTGTGTAATTAAATGATAGTGCCAAAAAAATAGATTTGTTACAGTAATGTGCGTCATTCGGAATCATAAATGTCACACACTTGAGAGAGGCTGTCATATATAATAAAAAAAAAAAGAACTAAATACTGGTATACTGGTACAGAACAAAATTTCTACGCCATTTCTGAACAAAAAACAAATCAATGAATATATAGGTATGTTAATATTTTTTATCTTTTCACTTTTTCACCATCAGACTGTCTTGCTCAAATTATTCTGCACTTTTTTCTTATATTCTTCAAAATTTTTGGAAATGAACCCTAATTCTGGAGCCAAGAGACAAAATTTGAGTAAAATTTCAGTTTTCACACAAAAAAATTAGCTAGTTTTGTCCCAATCTTCTGAAGGAAAGTGCAGACTATAAACAGGACTATTTTGTACATTTGTGATGAAAAGAGGGAGCTGGTGTTGAAAAGGCTAAACTGA